TAAAATTGTCTTGCACCGACGGCTGCATGTCAACATCTGATCACCAAAGTTGTTATTGTAAGTCAACCCTGAGATTCTGCTTCGCCACTTCGTGCCGAACTTTGCATCACATCCTCAAGTTGCTCGGGTTCCAGTTATTACCCCGGTGCTGGCGATGATAGCCAAGGAGTTCAACGTGGCTTTGCTTTAGCTATATATCAGCAAGTGCAGCCTACAGATATGGTTTATATTGCTCAGCGCTGAACCTTGTCATGCCCATTATATATCAAGCATATTCAGGTTTAGATTTGCTTAGACAGGTGGAAATCGCTGAGCCTACGATCAACCAGGATTCGCATGCCATCAAGAGCTTTCTGATCGCCCACAAAAGTTGCTTGTCCGGGTTATTTTATGGATGTGTGCTTGTAGTCGTCAACACCTCAGGGCTCATGGAACGGAGCGATGAGCAGCGTGATCCGGATGTCCAAGAACTCAGTGTCCTTGGTTTTGCAAACATATAACAATGCCAGCAAACACTCAAAATTGCAAGTCATGCTTGAGCACAACACAGCACAGCAAGCAGCCTGCATGACTCAAGTTGTTGATGCTCATTTGCTTGCCTGCATAGTGTAAGGACTTGTTCCGAGCTCGGCTGGGGAATGAAGGTGCTCTGGCTGTTTACAGAGGGGCCTATCGGCCTAGAGTCAGGGGGCATGGGCCGGAGGAGGAGCCTGGGGAAGAGGAAATGGGAGAGGAGGGGGCAGAAGGAGGTGAGGATGAGGCTGAGGATCCTGCTACGGAACCGGAGGGGGATGCGGTTTTTGAAGGACCAGCCGTGGATCCAGATCTTGGAATCCATGCTATTTTCGATATACCTCAGGAGAACGACAAGGAAGAGGAGGGTGAAATGGATGAGGATATGGATAGCCAGAAGGCTTTCGGGTCTCAGATTATAGACGCTCCATCTATTGCTTCGCTGGATTCGGACTCCCAGCCAAGCTCGGTGCACGTCATTGACGTGGTCAACTCGCCAGGTGAGTATAGCAATATGGTTCACATGATACTTGTTGTTTTGCTTGTTGTCAGTTTTAATCTGCCTGTATATGTACCACTGTGACAGATCCTCCAGCAAAGACAACATGGATTGAAGAGAGTTTTGACGATGTCAACATTGCACCCCGAGCTGCATCGGCAGGCGCCCACGGTGCATGTCGTGCTATGTGGGAACTAAGTTGCATCGGTCTTGGTGGTTCTTTGTTGTTTCTTTGTTGCACGGCTAGGTGGTCGAAGTGCTGCTGTGGATTATCTGAAGCAGAAACTTGCTGAGATGGCAAAGCCTCTCGACCCAGCTTTATGTCAAGCCACACCAACTGCTGTGTTGCACAATTATGGATATCTATGCATACCACGTATATTGTATTAAAGTGCTTTGCTCCGGCATATCATCTCAGGCAGGTGTCCAAGGTGCCAGCCCAAAAGCCGGCTGCTGATATGGACAATATGGACACGCAGGTCCCGGGTGATGACTTCCTGGAAGATCCTCTGCTCCATGAATATGCATGTCCTCGAATGACTGCTATTTCATGAATCTTTATTATTGTATAGCTATGTTGAACTATTGAATTATGGTGGGTCATCTGGAAGCTGTATGTTGCTAAGGATGCTGCAAAGCAGATGCGGTCAGCTTCGAGTTGTGAGGATATGGGATATTCCATGGTGTGGGATATTTGTCTGTGCACAAACTTGTTATTT